ATCACATTTTTATGAGATTAAACTGAAAGTTAATGTATGACAGATACAGACTTTCTCCCTATTTTTTCATGCTGACAATATTAGCATTGTTGGTTGTTGTTTGGGTTGCATGTTGTACATATGATTTGTATAATGTGATGTGGTCTATAATGCATACATTATTTCAGGATAGCAGTCAACTCAGATGACATTAGTGGTGGCAATACCAGCAACTGAGGTCTGATTGCCAGGGACAGTTCATATGCATGAACAGTGCCTCTGTGCACAGCTGCTCTTTTAGGACCACACGCTCTCTTCCCAGTGAAGACAGGACCCCTCTTCTCCAAACATGCATTTAATTGGCCAGAAAGACAGAAAAAAAATATGCCTCCTTCTCAACATGTTCTCTACCTCCATAAACCAACACCCTAAAGTCATGGCATCAAAGAATATCCCCAAGTTCAATCTCCACATTCCCAGTCTCCTTCACAGTGGATCTGGCACACATCCCATAAGTAGATGTCTTTCTAGAAGACGTCACCACCAGGCACACTGAACTTGGAGGGTTTGCACTAGCCATGTATGCCTCACAGTCTGGGAGACTCACAGACATTCTCAGATAAAAAATATGCAAATCCTGAAGTTACCATTTCAGGCTAGCTTTAAAGCTATGTTTTGAGTTTTCTACCACAAAACCACAAGATCTATGTATTTGGGGTTTTTTGCAAAAGTTCATTTTCCTTCCTCTTAATGAGTAGGGACCAATGGACACAGACTGAGATTCCCAAGAGGGCACACACCTCCAGGTCTCACCAAGGTAAATGAATTAGACAATTAAAGCTGAGATTATGCCTAAAGTTAGGCCTTAGCAAGTTAACTGGCACATCACATCTATTACATTGACCTGTTGAAGCAACAGCTACATTAATGGCCTGAAGAAGGCTGCCTTTATGAAACAGGACTAGAAGCTTTTGGAGAAACAAAAGGTTTTTTACTTTTTTTTTAAAGTGATTTATCGCTTCCATATTTACTGTGACTTTTGCTCCTATATGGTCACATTTAATTGGGAGCATCACGTATAAAACAGAAGAAAATTACTCTATTTCATTATGAAACAAGTGATACAATTATATAAACTGTTTACTTCCTTCTCCTATAATTTTATTGGCTTTATTCTTCCACTGATAGAAATGTGTTATCTTAATTACAGATAGTTTTGACTGATCATTTATTAAAGATATCTTCTAGAAAGAAATACCATCCTAATGATGCATGGCAAGTCATGTTAACAAGTACCTCTTTAAAACAACCAGATCTTTTTGATTTTTATTTTACATTACAGAACACTGACTTTCAGCACACATGTGACTCACATATCAACTAGAAATATGACTATCTAGTGGAAAATTTGGTTCCTCCATGTGCATTCATAGGCTGTTTTCCAAACACATCCACAAGCAACAAGAAAGCAGAGCTACACAGAGGACATGCCTGTGCACCCAACCAGGCTGGAGCTGCAGGTCCACGTTCCACACTCGTGTCATTGGTTATCGCAAACCACACTAGAATCAGGGAGATGTTTCCATCCTTCTGTGAGATGTTTCCAGCCTGCTAGCATATTCCTAGGAACATAGTTCAGCCAAGGTTGGAAGGAACCTTGAAAGATCATATGGTCCAACCTTGTCTGGGAAAGGGAGGCTAGAAGAGATCATCCAGCACCCTGTCCAGTTTTGTCTTGAAAACATCCAGTGAAAGGAACTTCACCGTGAACCTGGATATGTTGTTCTAGGCAATGGTTATTCCCACTGTAAAAAAATTGTCTCTTGTATCAAGATTAAACCTAGCACAACCAGTACCCATCGCACCTTTTCTTCCCTATGAAGAGAGAGATTCCATCATGTCTGGAGAAGCCCTTTAAGTACTAGAATACTGTGATGAGATTCTCTCTTGTGCCTTCTCTTTTCAGGGAGAAAAGGTCTAACCTCTTCAGACTTTCCTCACAGGCAAGTTCTCCATTTGACTGAAAGCTCTATATGTTCCATGTTTCTGTCAGTTCTAGCTGGTATAAAACCAGAAAGTAAGCACACAGAGCATCTACTTCTGTTTCTCATTTAAACAGATCTTCTAGGAGAAAAACTTTGAAGGTAAGTTCCTCTTACAGAGGAGCCTTAGTGTATGTGCTCTCAGACTACATGTCTTTATCCCCATTATGTGATGAAGATCATGAACAGTTTCCCCTCTTATTTCCAGTCCACTGCTCCCATGCTTTGTGATACTCCACCCATTTACGTGTCTTGTATAAAACGTACAAGGCTGTAAATTCTCTTCCTGAATATTGTTCAAAAATCACACCTACAACAATTCCCTTCACATGCTCTGATTCATAAGTTAGAAGTTTTAACATATAAAAGATAATGATATTACTTCTCCAAGAAATAAAATACCAAAAATTTCTCCTACTTCCAATTTCACTTCCTTCTTTAGAACACTGCCTTACACAATTCAACATAATTCTTACTTACTCTTAAGAATATACAGTTCATTTCAAGCTATAATCAGGTAAAGAAGTACCACAATAAGGATTTGTTACCTTATTTACACTTTTAATAGCACATTTTTAGTAAACATATGATTGGAAGTTACCTCCTTAGGAAATGAATACAATACTTCGCTTTCACAGATAGTTATGACAAACAAATTATTTCACTTATCAGGACCATCCAGTGAAGTGATTTGTCCCATTTGCAAGTAATATTTACAGGTCTCCAATCTGCAGGCAGTAACAGGGTACTTGTGCAAAAACTAGTTTCTTTTTACCTGAATATCACTTTCCATCAGCACTGTTTATGTCCACAAGATCTTTATCTTTCCAATTTCTTTAAACAGAGGCAACATATATCCTCCTCTCTGTCTTTGTTTCACAAGATTAAACATGCCAAGTTGTTTTATATTCCCTTCTATAGTAAGTCCTCTCTTATCTTGACCATCTTTGTAGCTTTTCTCTGCAACTAGTTAGGTCTCAATTCATTTTTCTTGGAAAGCAGGTACACACACAGTAGAGCCTTTCAGATGAGTCTGCATAAACTTTTGTAGCTTTATTGGATATATCATATGGGATATATAAGCTTGCATATTTTCTAGATGCACTACCTAGAAAGACTCACTGTCCTCCTAAAACCAGTTTAAACATGCAAGCTGCAATCTTCACTTCTTCTTTGTAAGTCTTTTATAGGATAACAAGATGTTATGAGTTCTCAAATTAATTCATGAACGTGCACTCTAATATTTTAAATACTAGCCTCTTTATTTCTCTTATCCTTGGAGTCATCTACTTTTTCCCATTTGATATTCTTATCCTTCTCTCCATTAACTATGCTGTCTAAACTTGTGTCTTCAGAATCACTGTCATACTCCTAATTCTCTTATCAACACTGTTAATGAAATTACTAGGAAGCTTTCTCTCAAAATTCAATCCTGAAAAAAAATTATTAGCAACTTCATTTCAATACTTACCTTTTGATAGTCTCTACTGTCTCCTAACCACTCCTCTACTTTTTTACCCACTTTCAGTTCTTCTAATGATTCTTATCATGTCCAGCTTAATTAACGATTTCCCACAAGACAATATATCAAATACATTCAAGATAGAATAGTTCTATCCATACTCCTTGCCTAAAAATATCACTGAATATATCAAAAATGATCTTCTGTTAATCTGAGATAATCTACCTTTGATTAAAAAGACGTGACACTTCATTCCATTTACCTCCATGCTCTTTATTATGCTCTCCATCACATTTTATTTTAAAGCCTACTGAGATCACAGCAAAAGACACTTAGATGCCTGGATCTGGTTTTGCACCTTTCTAAAATACCTTTGTTACTTTATAGCTACCTGCACTTATGCCTCTCTCTAACACATCTTCTGTCAGCAACTTTATGTACTATATCTTTCAGACACTCACTTCAAGATCAACCAGTCTACAGCCACCTGTCTCCTTCTTCTCCATGCTAAATTTCTTACTATCTTTTTCCCCCTGGACACTTAGCCAAGCCCAACTGCTGATAGCTGCAACAGTGAAAGGGTGTTTGGTTACAGGACTGAATCTAGATAGTCTCTCACATTTACTTTGCCCTTACTGCACAGTGGCTGCATTACTTGTCTTTCCTGGCTCTCTTGGTGGTTTAGACTGATAGAAAACTCTTGGAGACCTAACACACTTCAGATTAGGAGGCAAAAAAAGATTCAGAAACAATTGTGATCATTTGAGTTTCTGTAATACTCATACAATAGAACTTTTCCTTTTACCAAAGTGAGTACAGTTTCTTGCCTACAACTGAGTTTGCTGTTTAGCAAAGCAGCTCATACATTTACTTTGCAAAGCTTTTTTAGTTGGGTTTTTTTTTTTTAATATATGCATTTTATCACAAATAATAGGGACCACCACCACTGAAGGAATTAATAGCTATTTAGAAGATTTTACATACTGTGGAGAAGTCTTCCCAGAAAGCAAAAAAGCAATAAAAATATATGAAGTATGATGAGGCTGCTATCTCAGTGTATTTGGCAGAAGATACCCTTGTGCTGTTTTCCAAGACTATGCAAACCATTAATGCAGGACATAACTGAAGAAATTATTGAGATCCAAAGTGAAATCTGACACACACAATATTGTAACCTGCTCTTGGGAAATATTAATGTACAATCCAAAGAAGTTGCATGAGACGAGTGTATTAGACAACAACTCAGCCATGCAGAGAAACAGAAATCTCTCGACATCATCACAGTGATTTGTCCTCTTGAGATATTTCCACACTACCTGCACTGGAACAAGCAGCAAGCTTCTCTGGGGTGCCTCCCAGCTGGGACATGAATTTGTGGGGCATGTGTGCTTGATAGTGTTCTCCATACTACTGTCACCAGGAACCTGCTCTTTAATCATAGAGGGTTCCCACAAACTGAAATAACATAACTTCATATTTACAGGACAATATTTAACAGGGATAAAATAGAGTCAGACCTGGCTGAAATATATTCCTGTGCTTAATAGAAAAGGGAATATTTTTTTGTTGTAGGCACTCCAGTTGTAGATTCCATCCAATATGTTCCACCACTGTTTTCTAGTATCAATCTTCAGTCACCTAAAGTGAGACATTTTAACCAACTTTAAAAAAAATTGAATACACTGAAAAAACAACACAAGTTAAAGTCTTTTGAAAGAAGAAATCACTTAGGTTTTTTCTAAATTAAGTTAGTGGAAAATAATGCTTGTTCACTCATTTTAAAAAGTTGTCAGAGTAATTTAAAGGGAGCTGTACAATTCTATATTATATTGGATAAATTTTCATTAGGATATACATCTGCATACTACAGCTAAATCTCATCTGTTAAGCTGTCCATGTAGATTTTGTTTATATTTTGTATCAGACTCACTGTTGTCTCCTCTGAAAAAACAGAGCCCTACACTCTAGGAGAGGTGTGACAATGAGCACCCCAGCAGCAATCTCAGGTTTGAGTGTCTGTGCACACTCTGGCCATGGCACCCAGTTGTTTCCAATAATCTTTAAAGTGATCACCCTCCAGGCAGTGTAACTGCTTTCCAATGTTAGAGACAGGCTACTGAGACCCAGAATGTGGACTTACCAGGTTCTAAGTTTTTCTTCTAAACACAAGAGCAGCTTTTCTCCAAGATAAGCACAGCAGGTGCAGCCTTTCTTCTCCTTTTACTCCTGTATTTGTTGAATACATATTTTGGGGCTGTACAACCAATACCCAGTCCACAAAATAGCTAATCGTAACTAATTAAGACTCTGTCAGTCAAGAAAGAAGAAAAAAAAAAAGTAATATCAAAATTACCACATCCTTAAAACCCCTCCTGATCTTCACAGCAATGACATTTTGATAATGATGATGACTCTGCCTTCACAAAGAAAGAGCTCATTATTTTTGAGATACATATTTCAACATCAATTTCTGATAGGAAATGAACCCTACAAGCAACTATAATTGGAATGCTCTCCTCTGCTGCCTTAATAGCCATCAACAAAATATAACAAAGGTAACAGAAAAATCTCTCCACTGAAAAATAGGAGCCTGCAACTGCCATTTGCTTGAAACAAACCCTCAAGGGAGGCCTGGGAAACATAACAGAAACCAAGTATTCAGTTACATTTACCAGAGATCACCAAATGCCAACCCCTAAAGCCACACACCTGGCCATCTTTTCAAAAAGTAGATATAATTCACCTTCCCCAATGCATGTGTCCAAAAAAGAAACAAATTTTAAGCTTTTGGCCTGAGACCATGCTCATGATTGCAACTAGGTATCAAGACTAGCAGTGATAGATTTTCACACCTCCCATTCCTTTCATTTGCACCTTTTCCTTGGCTTCAGTTGACTTTATGTGTTTCTTGCCTTGCTCTACAAGTGTTTATAGAACTGAAGCAATTCATCCAGCAGCATGAACCAGTATGAACCAATATGAAGATGAGCCAGATTGAAAGGGGTCTGGTTTTCATTGGACTTGCAGTTTTCTCAATACCTCAGAAATCCATATTCTTTATCTTCCAACAATCAAAATATTGCACACCCAGCAGCTGAGACAGTAGCAGCTGCTTACACAAGAGATACACTTTCCTGTAAGTTGTGAGGTCCAGGTATAAACATGGTTCTTTATGACTGTGTCACAGCATGACCAAGATGTGCATCAGTAGTGCTTTTGAGAAAATGAAAATCAAATGCTTCACTGGGTATAAGGGGGTGCCAGGGCCAGTATGAACATCCAAACCTATAAACAACCTGAGAAAGTAGAGGCTCTGAATAACTCCACTGCTGGATGAAGCAGGTATTAGTCAGATTTTGGGGTATGGGGAAACTTCCCCTGTCTAACAGAAGACACTTTAGATCTTTCTAGACCAAACCATATCAGAAAATCAAAAAGCAACAGAAACTCAGCACATTCAGCATTCGAGTCAGCTCCCCACACAGACACAGATTGTTCAGGCAATGTAATTGCACCGACCCAACCAGCCCTGCATACGAGTTTCATCTTGCATGTAACAGAGTCAACATGTACTGTGACTGCTTGGCTGGGATTTCTGGATTGGTGTACGTCTGAAAATCCTGGACAAATTACAAAAGCTGACAGAAAAATACAAGAGGGGAGCAAAGAACCCATTAATGGCAACCTGTCACAAAGTGCAGCAGCTCTGATAGAGGTACTTTCACTTTGGCTTTTTTAACAACAGCTGAGCCACCATAAGATTATGTCACTGTCCATATTCATCCTTCGTATTTTTTCTCCTAGTTAACTGTTTAAGTGGCTTTCTCAGACTAGCTCTGTAAACTAGATCTATCTACATTTATGAGACTTCCTTGTGAGGTACAGACACATGCTAGCATGCTATCAGAGGAAGATCTAGGAAAGCTTACTAGATCTACTAAAATTACATACTATTAATAGTATTATATAATAACATAACTTTTTATATATAGCCCAAAGGCTAAACATATCAAAATGAAGCACAGCTGTTTCAGGGCAACACAGCAGCTCTATTCACTCATCTCAGCACTGATTTCACACCATGGACTGCCCTGAAGCATCAGTCTGAGACATTTACCACCAAAACAATAATGGGGTGGGTACCCCAGCCAAAAACAGAAGCAAGAGCCAGCCCTGGCAAAGAGTGGGTCAAGACTCCCTTGAGAGGGAGTGGTTAAATTATACGTTCTATCCCTTTATTACTAAGTGTATTACTAAGTGTTTACATTAACTCTCCATTACCCTCCACTCCACGGCCACCCTCTTACACACAGGTTTCGCCTGAGAAAGCACTGGACTGGTCTCGTCCCAAGACCCCATACAATACTTCCTGCACTGGAGAAATATATATGCATATATACAGGCAAAAGGTGTGTATGTGTATATATATACATACACACATATATATACACATACACTCACATATACATACATGCATATATATGTATGTAGATACCCATACATACATGCATGTATATATATATATATATATACACACAGACATATACATACATATATATACACACACACACACATACATACATGCATATATATGTATGTAGATACCCATACATACATGCATGTATATATATATATATATACACACAGACATATACATACATATATATACACACACACACACATACATACATATACACACACACACACACACATATACATACATATATATATACATATATTTATATATCTATATGTATGAAAAAGCTCGTGTGGGATGGGGCCGTGCCCGGCAGCCGCCCGGAACCCGGGGAGCCCGGCCGAACCCTGCACTCCAAGCCCAAGCCCAAGCCCCAGCCCCAGCCCCAGCCCCAGCCCNACATGATTGAAACCCCCCCGGTCCTCAACTTCGAAGAAATCGACTACAAAGAGATCGAGGTGGAAGAGGTGAGTGAGGGTCCCGCCGTCCCCCTCGCTCTCCGGGCGCGGCCAGCCTGGTCCCGGCCGCGCAGACCCCGAGCGCCCCCGGCGTTCTCCTCGCCGGCGCCGTCCCTCCGCTGCGGAAGGGGCTGCGGAGAATTCCCGGGTGCGCCGGGATGCCGGGACCCCCCCCAGGGTACCTGACCGGGGGTCTGTGGTCCCGTGGATGCTGCAGGGGCTGGCACCAGCGAACAAAGCCGGTCTAGCTAGGAGTGGAAGTGCCAGCTTACTTCTGCCGGCCCTGCTGCTGAATGCCTTACTGTGGAATTTTATTTAAACGGGATAGATTTATTAAGGACTTTAAAGTTTCGCCACCCACTTTAGTATGGGTGGCAAACACAGTTGTCAGGAGAGAGAGCTGTTAATTCTAGTGTTTCTTTCAGATCTCTTTTTCTCTATGCCCCTGTTTTCACCTTCTGCCACCAAACTGAGCCATTGTATATGTCATAATCATACCACTCTTAATGATTTGCTAAATTTACAGCTCCGTGAGTTGTAAGGGTAAACAGATTTTTTTTTCATACATAGGCTAGTGATGTTGCACTCATGGATATGTAACCTTTCATTTGTGACCTGTGCCTGTTACCCAGGAAGTGGTATTCAGTTATTAAATAACAAAGTTGGAAGTAAGTTTTTTTTCTGTGAAAATCGTATAGTAAAATTATTTCAGGTGTACCTTTCATCTGTCTGGAGTTCCTGTGAAAGTAGCGTGGGTGTGATCTAGGGTGGCTTGCGTGCTTTAATAACAGGCTCAGTAGTCTCTATATACTACAGTGTTGTTTGACTCTCAGAGTTACACAAAAATATTGCTGCTGGTTTTTTCCTTTGTCCCCTCCTAAATTCTCTACATGAGTGAAGTTGCTTCATGTTGACCCATAACAAGTTTGATGAGACCCACTTGTAGAGTCTGGACCTAACAGGCATCCATGACTGCTAATGCAGTCTCTGTGCTTTTATTTGTAGGTTACCATCTTTCTCTTTCAGTAATAATTACCCTCTTTTCCTTAAAAAATTTGTGTGGAAGTGGAGTTTTGTGTAGTAGCTTTGATAGCTTTTAGATTACAACCTTCCTGTCAGGTTTTTATAGCAGTTTGGTAGATACTGGTTTGTTTATAATTATCCCACTGGGCTTGGGTCTTCTGGGGATAGTTCAGGGACCTTAAAATCTACAACATGGAGCACCAGGGCACTTTCTGCTGTATTCAGGTAGTGTTGTGGTAACTTTGGCTTTCACCATAGCAGGCACTGGGAATTTTCAGGAGACAGTAGCTTTCAAAAGATTGCCTTTATCTCTTTCTATGAATTTGGCAATCATAAAGATTTTTGTTTCTGTAAGTCTAGTTGTTCCACCTTCCTTTGTGCAATTAACTATTCTGAAGTGAAGGTATTTTTGATGTTTTTGCAACACTTACTAATAGCCAGGGATCAAATCACATGTTTTGGGAGAAACAGCCTTTGTCACCCAGTGGAGAAAGTTTAAGTGGGTTATCCATCGGAAAAAGGTGCCCAGTGATGGCTCATAGAAGTGAGTGCCACATCTGCTGTGTTAGACATAGCCCTTTGAATTAATAAAGTGCTATACAAATCTTTAATCCTCACAACACCCCTGGGGAGGTTGTTAGCAAGGATTGTATTGCTGTTTTACATATAAGAAATGTGGAGCTGCATAGTGTGTAATTGGTGTAACTAGAGTTTAGCATTCTAAGGTTCGGTGCTCAGAGCTTGACTGTGTCCTACACATGTGCCTGGCACTCACAGAAACAGGACTGTCAGCACAAAAATGTATCTAGAGACAATGCCTAAGTAGAAATTTGTTTAATGCAGCTGTTGCATTATTCTCAACACAGTATATTTGTAGAGATAACAAAACTCATGTGATATAAGCAAGAGAACTCTGATGAAGTGTTCCACGTTGTCTCCATGAAAAAAATCTCACAGCTGGCATAGCATATTGAGTGTACCCGTCCTCCCAGAATTCTTATAGGCAATGGGGATACCCTAATGCTGAACACAGTCTAAATGTCATTGCACAGAGGAAGAAATAAGGCCTACTTTACAAGATAACAGATGAATTGGGGATCATACTTAGACCTTGCTTTTCTGAGCTGTGGGTGTTGACCTCTTACTCATGATGCAATTTCAGCATGAATAGTCAACTTCGTAGTCATAACAAAACACACATCCTCACTGAGGATTTTCTGTGCTCTCACTTTAGAAGAAACTTCAGAAGTTTTCAAGGATTGTAAGTGACTGTAATGTCTCCAAATGGTCATATTTATGCTTGGCAAACTTCAAGTGTTTCAAAATGGAGTGTTAAGAGATCTACACTGGAAACTCAAATGCTTTTATAATCATAGCTTTGCTGTTGTATTATCAAGGCTGTCTTGTCAGCAGATAGCAGTCCCACTCTGCCACTGGTTTATTAATAGATATTGAAGTTCTGGAATACTTGCAGGCCCAGAGACCTTGTTAATAAATGTGAGATCTATAAGTACACTTTCATTTAGGTTTGTCTGAACTCTACTAAGATAAGAACAAGAATATACCAAATTTCACTTTAGCTACCATGCACATGACTAACTGTAGTGTTACTTCCCACCAGTCAAACACGTCTCCAGCTTCAGTCTGCCTCTTTGTCATTTCAGGTGCTTAAAATGAAATAAAACATGGAGACAATTATTATTAAAGAGTTGGAGTCAGATCAAAATTGATGTGACACAGCAGGAGCATCTTCAAAACTAGAAGGGGAAAAACAACATAAAACTTGTGTTCAAAAGAAGTGGTCTCTATTTTACTATGCAAGTTTTCGATTGTGAAAATGGCCATTTTAAGTTTTTAATATTAGACAGACAAATCACTAGAAACTGAAAAAATACTACCTAATATAACTGAAAAATCAAGTCAGCAATAAAAAGCCTAAGAGACTTGTTTTAAAGTCTCGTATTTAAATCTAGAACAACACTCCTGTTGTTTCTTCCCAGAGGAGTTTCCACATCTAAGCAACAAACACACTTTGGTTTTTAATTGTTCTGGCAGCCTACTCCCTGCCACTCTTTCCTGAAAATTCCACAGGCTTTCCTCGACCAGGTAACTGGGTAACAGTCCCATACATGACCAAAATGTAGACCTCTTCATCACATGATGTGTGTATCCTTGGCACAGCCAAAGGTACATGTCTGGTCATGTATACTGTGACCCTGCCCAGTCACTGCCTGATGCAGACAAGTTAGAAAAACTAATGCCATATTTGCATAGTTGTAAGTTACTTTTGGATGGTCTGAAAGTGTAAATTACTTGAAAACTGTTGTTTAATTCTCTACTGGTAGAGTATATACAGTAAACTGTATATATACATTTTACAGTGAAGTTTATTTTCAACAATCTATTTGGGTAGTAGTTAATTCTAAGAGAATTAGGGTAATGTTTTCTTTGAGATGAAGAGGTAGGCTTAATATATATTTCTTATAGAAAGTTTACTTAAGATCCCAGCAACCAAGGAGATGCAATTTATAGTATGTCCACCTATGTCAGATATTTTTGAAACAGTTGATTAATTTCATTAACTGAGTAGCGTGCTGAGATCTATGTCTGCTCCTTCCAATTCTGGGGCAAAGCAGTTCAGAGGCAAGAAAATGAGCAATACAGCAGAGCAACTGGGTTTTGCTCCCCTTTATATAGTTAACTTTTAAAATGTTAGTGAGATGCAATGACTGATTATATCCATTACAAAGTAAAGCAGATTTGTGTAAGTTGCTGTTGAACATGAAGCTATTACTACCTCCACTGTTTCTGTGTTCTGGGGGGGGTCACCCCCAGTTGTAGAATACCAATCTGAAAAGTTGGAAGGAATTTAGAGAAGAACTGGATGTGATTTGAGATCTGAACAGCATTTTTTGGATATCTGACTTGAGTGCAGAAGGATTGGTTCTCAAGAACCAAGGGTGGTGGTTAGAAATCCATTTGAAGTCAGTTGAATTTCTCAGCCTTTTTCGGTAAGACTTCAAGCTGCAAAGCTGGGTATTTAAAAACAAAGGCAAAAAATAAGTACATGGTGAAAACATATGCCAGTATTTTCTCTGATTTTATTCTAAATACATTTCCGAATTAATTCAAATAACTACTTAAATGTAGTTTAGTTACACCAATGGAAGATTCTCTTTATTCATTTACATAAGAAAATAGCTGAAGTTTTAGCTGGGGTGTAAATTTATAGCAGAAGTTGTTCAACACCAATTCTATGTGGATGAAATTTACTGTGCACTGAGTTAGAAGATGGCTAATAAGCTAGTTAAACATTTAATGTGGCACTTTACACTCATTTCTGCACATGCAGATATATTCAGTGAATCAGTTTGTGTCCTGTAAAAGAGACTCATACTTCACTCTCTTAAAGAACACATGGGAAAGAAACCTCACAGATCTTCCTGT